TTTTTTTTTTTTTTTTTTTTCGGTTAACCGAAAAAAACCCGAACCGAAACCGAAAGTTTCGGTTCAGTTTTGGTGCGGTTTTTTTCCCATGACGGTGCGGTGCGGTTTAGAATTTTGTACATTTTCGGTTTTCGGTTTTTCGCGGTTCAGTGCGGTTTTGCACCGAACCGCACCGTTGCTCACCCCTATTCATAGCAGACCTATTTTCTCCTGAAATTATTGTATTGCAACAAGATCATTAGCAATTTTCTGTGCATTATTAAAATAATCAAACAAAAAGTCTTCAATAAATTATTAGTTAAATTGACCAATTAGATAACACCTAATTCCAGTTTTGGGTTCTTTGGAAATATAGCAATCTCACCCGTACTTTTCAAATTATTTTATTCACACAAGAATCTAATTCAAGAAGGGTAGGAAAACACAAAACTCGCACCTCTAAGGACAAAACAGTAATTACGCAGCCAACCTAAATCCGGTTCATCGTTCTGCGAGATCCACCTGACACGTCAGGTGCCCCGAGCGAGTTTTCTTCACATACACGTCTTTTTATCCACGTCACCATTTCTCTGGGACCCATCCACCCCCACAACCCTAGAGACCCACCCAAAAAATCGAATTCCTGATCACACGGCTGAAAAGCATAACACGTGTCCCGCGAGGCCGATCGCGACCGTCTATGACAGACGTTCCGGTCAACTGCCCGAAGCCAGCAAACAAACCCATCTCGCCCGTCAGATCAAGACTTCCTAAATAATGGACGGCCCACAGACTGCCCGAAATTTCTCCGGGCAGATCTCGTCGCCTTTAAGAAGCACCCAACTCGCCCTCTCATTTCCTCGCTCAAACCCTAATCGCCACTTTTTGTACACCCAATTTAGGTGTTCATCGGCCTTTTCTTTTCCGATCTCCTTTCTCATCTAATTATCTCAAAATTGTGCCGGAATTTCGATTTCCGATATCGAGCAGTGGCAGTCTCAGTTGCGGGGGTCGTTTTTCTTTTACAACACATGTTTTTAGGGGGAAAGTGCTGCCGGAGTTGCGTAGGAGCTGAAACCCGCCGGCGGTGTGATTCATGGCGTCTGCCGTGTTAGCGAGACAGAAGGAGACGAGCTGGGGCCCCATGGGGAAGAACCCGTACTCAAATTTACCCCTGAATGCAAACCCTAATCCTAACCCCAAGAAAAAGCAGAAGAAATTCCACCACGCCGCCGCGAACGAAATCATCTCCGGACGATTCCAAGCCAACGGCAATAACCACCACAACCTCGAATCTCCGGCGGTGACGCAGACGGCGTCCGACGATGCCTATTCCTTCAACCAGACGACAACCAGCAGGAAAGCAGCTAATTACGGGGGCTACATGACCTTCAATTTAGCCTCGTATACGAAGTCTGACCTCGTGGAGCTCCGCAAGCGGCTGTCGTCAGAGCTCAGTCAGATCCGTGATTTACGAGATCGGATTGATTCTGGCCAAATCAGCATTATGGAGAACCCTAGATCCCAGGTGAAATCAAAGAAATTTTCCGGAAACAAGAGACCTGGCGCAGTTGTTGCATTCATGCCCAAAAAATTGCCCAATGGATATGACAGTGGCAGTATGGACCCTGCTGATTGTGAAATGATGTTAAAGGAATGCGGCAAGATTGTCACCAAATTATTAAAGCACAAGTTTGGGTATGTTTTCAAGGCTCCTGTTGATGTTGTGGCCTTTGGGCTTCATGATTATCACCTGATTGTGAAACAACCAATGGATCTTGGCACAGTGAAAGCAAATCTTGCCAAGAATCGCTATCTGAATCCCTTGGAGTTTGCAGCTGATGTGCGGCTGACTTTTAATAATGCATTGCTTTACAACCCCAAGAGTGATCCTGTTAATGGGATGGCGGAGCAGTTGTTGGCCAAATTTGAGGAGCTGTTTAGGCCAATACAAGATAAGATTGATAATTATTTGGAGCAGCAGAGGGAGATGGTGGCTTGCGAGTTTCGAGCATATGACGAGTTGCACTATAGGGGTATTGATGAATTGCAAGGGAGCTCATGGAATAACCATGCGAAACAGTTCATGCCTTCCCCACCCAGAGAGAAGACTAAGCCTAAAGCTAGTCCTGTTCCAGTTGATTCGAATCCTCCTCCTATGATCCAGCAGCCTCCTCCTATGATGCAGGAGTTGTTTCCTCCTTCTCCCATGGGACTTCCTTCTATGCCGCCCAACAGAGAGCTGAAAGCTGGGAGGAGTGGTGCACCAAAGCTGCCTAAGCCTAAAGCTAAGGATGAGAATAAACGAGACATGAGCATGGAGGAGAAGCAGAAGCTAGGTATTGGACTGCAGAGCTTGCCTCAAGAGAAAATGCCACAGTTGGTGCACATCATAAAGAAGAGGAATAAGCACTTGGCCCAGGACGGGGACGAAATAGAGCTTGACATTGAGGCCCTTGACAAGGAAACTCTTTGGGAGCTCGACCGTTTTGTCACCAACTGGAAGAAGATGGTGAGCAAGTCCAAGCGGCAGGCGTTGATGAACAACACTCAACCAGGTGGGGCTGTTGCTCCTGCCAGTCCTGTTGCGGATGTTGATATGGTAAAATTTGCTTCTTTAACAAATTTTTACAATTCTTGCTCGTTAATGATGTTGATTAGTTTGTTTACTAGAATAAATGAGCTCAATGCATGTAATAATGTTGTGAAGGGCGCAATGAGTGACAAAAATGATGATGACTTGGGAAGAAAAATGAAAGATAATGATGATGAGGATGTGGACATTGATGATGACATGCCTGCGGCTAGCTTTCCTCCAGTTGAAATTGAAAGGGATGAAGGGGCTGGAGGTGTTGGCATTGAGGATCACGATCGTGTAAATGTAGGTGGCCGGGACCATGATCATGTGGGTGTGCAGGTTCGGGATAATGGAGATGGCCATGATAATGATGAACGAGGCAATGCAAGTAGCAGCTCAAGTAGTTCGGGAAGCTCGAGCAGTGATTCGTCTTCCTCGAGTGGTACTGATACTGAATCTGATTCTGATTCTGATTCTAATTATTCCTCCTGCATTTCTACTTTGTGTTGAGGAAAAATTAAATAAAAAGAAAAAAAAAATGTGAGCGGAAATTAATGAAGAAGAAGTGCTCGGTAGTTTGAGCTTCCTTTTGTATGTTTACAGATTCTGATTCAGGGAGTTCCTCTGGGAGTGACTCAGATGCAGATGATGCTCAGTCTTGACGTAGTTAAGGTCCCTTGATATGAGAAGTAACGAGTTGGACTTGGAGCTGGGTGTGTTCTTGTTTAAGTGACGTATGAGGAATGATTAGATGGGCTTCGGACCCGGTGTTTTTGTTGTATGGAAAATAAAGCATGTTATTTGTTAAGGTACAAAGCATTAATGTTCCATTTTCCTCTTTTATATTTTGTTCCTTTTGTTTGCTATGATGCTGAAAATCTTCAAAACCCTCTATTGCAGAGTTAGGCGCAGCAAAAAACAAGCTTCCCTTGGGGGATGATGGTGGTTAAAGTGGAAGTTTAATGGGATTTCTATGTATTCCTGTCTGTTGGCTGTTTTTGTAGGGTTTGAATATGGAAAGGATTGTAGTATGTAGAATTGAGGACAGAAGAAGAGATTCAGTAGAATGTAGATACAGATCTGAATGAGATCTGAATGGGATATAGGTCTTTGTACAGTTTCACAACATAATTAGTTGGGCAAAGGTTCCTTAATGAAACACAATCTTTGAAATGTCTAAGTGTTACATCCTTGCATTTTACTTTATATCATGATTTATAATTTGGTCATTCATGGAGGCATTCTTAAATGTTGTTGCTTGAGGTAGTATTATAGTATCAATTGATAGTGGGTACGCCTTGGTTGATTTGTTAGTCGGTGGAGTTGTGTGAATGTTATGTCACAAAAATAAAGGAATTTTGCAGAAATTGTTCGGTCAAGACAGGATAGTGTTGTGGCCTCGGAATATTTAAAAACATGCTGGTTGAATGAAACAGATGAGCTTGTTGGCTCAACTATGATTTTATTTGTAATTTTTTATAGTTCGAATCGCTTACTTAAGGCTTGAAGTTGATTCGTTGCATCCGTAGATTGGATCTGCCTTAAGGCTTGAAGTTGATTCGTTGCATCCGTAGATTGGATCTGCTGCTAAGGCACGAGATTTACATTTGTTTCTAGTGTTATTTCAATTGTATATAATTTAATGTTGTTTCAATTGTATATAACATAAGTTGTAGCTTTGGTGTTTACAAACTCTTTCAAGTGTTATTTTCTAATGTACAAGTTGTAGCTTTGTTCAGTTGTCAGCTATCCAGCTGAGACTACAAAATTGATAATCGTGTTCTCCTGCCTCAGTTCTTTTGTTCTTCTTTATATTTCAAATTGCAATACTTGCAATACTCATCATTCGTCTCAAATATGTATGACATTTACTCTCAATTACTCAAAAAGCTAAAATAACGTATAAAGCGTCCACTAACATTTAGTTCTCCACTAATAAACACTGGAAAATAAATTACACTAGTTTGTAGGGCTGAGCATGTGACTCACGAGAATTCTGGAGATTGAATTTTAGTCATCTCCGAACTTCGGTACGGTTCCGGAGATTTGTCAATCTCCGAATCGTACCAATCCATGCTCACCCCTAGTCTGCATAAGTAAATCGAACGAGACATGATTATAACACAACAGTTTTACATAGCATCATCGAAGAAATAAGAGTTACAGTGATGGAAGTCCAGTCCAAGGGTGACTAGAAAAGACCCTATTTGTCTGTGATTCAAAATTGTGTTGGTCCTAAATAAAAGCTCGGTGAAAGGGAAAAGCAAACATCCACTGGTTCAGTTTGTAGTAATGAATATGCTAATAGAACACTTGAAAACAAAATGCTAGAACTCTGAAACACATCTTCTATTGTGAAAAGCACAAAAAATTTCACTGTAATTTTTCAGTCGTGCTTTTCTTGAGAGCAATAAATACCTCACCAAGCTGGGATTCACAAGCCGCGTGACCATCCGGTTCCAAAGCTTTAAGAAAATTCGAAGCCATGTTAAATGAAGTCAATATCTGAAACACTTTGCCACAGAATTTGCGCACATCGGCTCTTCTCGACTGTTTCTCGGGCATGTTTGTCAACAAATGTTTGATCAGATGGCATAGCTTTGGGATGTGGCTTTTCAGCATTTTCTTTGAAGTATTCACTGTTGTCACAACGTCATTCGTAGTCGAGGAAGAAAGTGACTTTAAGATCTCTGTCACCAAATCGAGGGCCTCAACTTGCCGAAATTGCGACTTTGCACAGCTACATTTCTCCAAGAGAAAACCGAAAAGGTGGCGACCAATCCACGGACGCCGCCTGAATATTTCTTTCAGGAATTCGCACTTCATCTGAGACTTTTTGCTGTCGAAGTAGGCGACCAAGGCATTCTCAAATATGCTGCAAACCTTTTGCAGTTCAGGTTCGGGAAAATTTCTCGAGTCAATTAATTTCAAGATCCAATATGTGGAATTCTGAGCAAGCGAATTTATATTTCTGTGCCGGTTCCAAGAGGCCGACTGCTTCTTTTTCGACAGATTGGAAGCGGATTTTTTTCTCTTGAATGGCTTTGCAGCTAATTTCAAGTACCTCTCGAGTAGAGGCTCGATTACTGCGAGATGCACCGAGTCGCCTCTCGGGTAGTCCTTGGCTTTGAATATTTTCTTCTGTATGATTCCCCATATGCGCTGGCCGAGCTGCTCACTCCCTTCGGTTGTTTGTGGATTAGCAAATGCTTGAGCTAGGTTTGAGAATATAGTCACTACCTGCGATTTACCTGCATATGTGATGAACAAAGTTAACAAGGCTCCATCTGAACCATAAATGTTATAAAGGAACATTGGTGTAAATGAAAGTGTAACTTACAACAAGGGATTACCCATGAGATTTAGGAGACTATTAAAGATTTGATGGAATAATTCTCTCACAATTAAAAATCTGCCGGACATATTTTCTCTTTGCAGATTCAACCTCAAGGGGGGTATTTATTAGATAAAAACAAATGTCAGAGGGTGCTTGTCGTAATTAAAGGAAACTTTGTGAACTAGGCTAAGCCACCGTGTCACTTTTGCAATCTACCTAAATTAATAAAAATTGACATCTTTCAGAAAGTCCAAGGAGAGAAATCTCGTAAGAAATGAAACCAATATTTTGAAGTTAAGCAAACAGTAACAAATAGAATGAGCAGGGCCACGAGAGAAAAGACACATTGTCTAAGAACCATTTCATCACCAGCAGCAAACAAAACAAACAGAATAATCCGCAACCTACAACTTGCCTGGATTTTCATGCAGATAGATCTCCAGCAAAGACAGCACACGGAGCTTAAAGAGTACAAGCTGAGAATGCGCAGTTTCGCCCCCAGCTTGATTCTTCTTCTCTCTAAATATCCGAGCGAGGTATGTATCCATCCTAAACATGGCATCGTCATCCATTCCCTCGTCAGATTCATCATCGGAACCTTCCGGAAGCTGAATGTTCACCGTGTTGACTCCAACTACCGCCTCCGAATCATCGGTGTGCTCGTCACTTTCGGCAGTTTCACCCGTCTCGGCCTGGTCAGAATCATCTGCTTCTTCAACGCCTAGTAGATCGTCCTCGTCATCATCATCTTCATCTTCTTTGTTTTGGTGCCGAGCGGGTTTTAGATCCTTCTTGATGACCCGCAACATCCGGAGTAGCCCATCCTCCGTGATATTGTTACAGAAATGTTTGAAAACCTGTGGAACCGAATATAATGATACAAGGATTAAACTGGGAAAGATAGTGCCCAATGATTTTCTGACGTGGAAAACATGTGATAAATTATTGGTATTTCGCTGTTATTTGCATTTCAGCTCTAGTCATATAACCCAATTAATGCTGTATATCAAACCAGACTTTGCCTGTATTAACAGTTCTTCAGAAAATCATATTAAGCTATTCCATATGCATTCCAAACAGACCTACACTTTCTATAATTGTTTCCTTAAAAATATGAATCATAACCTCCAATTCAAAGTTTTTTCAAGTTCACGTGTGTGGTCACATCCCCCACGAGTCAATCCCTTTAAGAATGTTGAATGAACAAGTATATAATTCGCAGACTAACAAATTTGCTACATTGGCATGTCAAATATTCCCAGGCATATGGCTATTTCTACACAATTATATAATTTGCAGACTAAAACATTTGCTACATTGGCATGCTAAATATTCCCGTGTATATGGCTATTTCTACGAGGGTAGTTAGTGGCTAGACACCGTGAGGCCTCACATTAGCAAATATGAAATAAACAATGGAACGAAATTACTGCAGTTAGTAGCCGTCACAATCAATCATAACTAATCTAAAGTGTGAAATGGTTAGACCGCATCAGACTAACTATATAAAGACCATTCTCAATCAATTGTATATGGGTTTAACTGAATCTGCTCAACCTTAATAAAATGGTCTCACGTAGTCCTATCAATACAAAGATAATAATGAGTAATATTTCATATAGATGTTTAGAAGATGTCTTAAACTATGTACTACTTAACCACAAATGGTCTTCCACTACTTACCTGCTCAATGGCCGATCGCAAAGGAGCTGATGATTGTGGCAACAGGGACAGCATTGTATCAACCAGTACATCCATTAATTCAGGTGCACCTTCATCATATTCATCTTCTTCAGAGGATCCTAGAAGATCCGACGAGCCAAAAGCTTTTTTACAACACATGACAAGTTCAGAGGCAGCTTCAAAGAACTCTCCTGGTCGAAGTATGATTTGAAGCAGCAGTTGGATGAGCAAATATCTCAGCGCATGTAATTTACTTGCATCCATGCTAAGACCGCAATTACGTTCCTAAAAACACAAAAAATGTAAGCAATGTTACTCCTCGACCAAGCAAAAATGATGATATAGAATATCAGTACATGTTTTGAGAATGGCTCCAGAATGCAACTAAAGATTCAATTCTTGGCGTTGAATCTTTAGCACTTCTTTCAGATGACATGACAGCATATTATTAAGGTAAAAAAATGTATATCAAAAGAACAAAGTACCTCGCGTGAGAGTTGACTTTCCATGGCCTGCAGTTTCTTAAAGGCCTTCTCGTCATCCACATTCAAGGCCCTCGACAGAGAAACTGAAGGAATATTGGATAATATGTTGAGAACCCGCATAAAATAGGATCCAAGATCATTTGCTTCAACACCATTTGCCACAGCATGAGGCCCCTCCCCTTTCTGAGCATTTGCAAGCAACAGCTGTAGCTGCTCAACACACATTTGGCCCAGAGCATTCGGGATGGCTGATTTTGGCCACCTAAACTTTTCCTGTAGTTCAAAGGATGTCACTTCAGTCCCTAGTGACGAAGAAAATAGACCTTGAACTGCCAGAAACTTTAGAACCTCTTTCTGCACATGGAACCTCGAATCTTGATCGAGCTTCAAATGCTTCGGAACACTAGGAAGGGACTCGATGACCCAAGTCTTGAGGAATTCAGAACTTCCTTGTGCCCCAACAGCATCCTTATCTTCAATCGAGCCTATTTCAGAATTGTCGTCAGTTGTTTGACTCTGATCTGAAGGTTCTTCTGAAGAGTGACCTTCATCTAAAAACATGGACATCAAATTCTCAACGAACAGCATACAACCAGACTCAGTCTTGAAATCTGACATCAAGTCTTTCACTGTTTTTGATCTCGTGATGCAGTCGAATTTTCCATTACTGTTCCTTTGCAGAGCCACAATCACCTCAACCCTCCTAACGTCATCTTGTGCCACCCACTCAGACAGTTCTTTAAGAAAATGTTGTGCAATTTTATAAAGCCAAGAGTCTTGTGTAGAGAGTATGTCAGTAAGACATTGGACAAGCTTATAGGACAACACAATGTGCACGCATGAAGCAGGAAGCTTTGGAAGTAGAAGCAACAACACGTCAAATGCTAACTTTTTGCGGTCGTGTGATGACGGTAAAAGTGACCCTTCAATTATTACTTCACAGAAAGACCTAAGATTTCTCTCAATGTCTTCTTCTGCTGAGCCAGACTTGCGATTCTTCTTGTGCTTCTTGATAGGAACAGTAGTGCCTGATCCAGAATCTGCATCTTGTGCCACATCAGGCAAGAGATTACTAAGGAGAACAGCCCAAACACTGTGCAGTCGTGGCTGGCAGAAAGTAGACTCCTACAATATCCACAAGAACTAATGATGAAACTATACTCAAAACATCAAGTATCTAATAATTTCATACCAAAAACTGCATCAATCAGAACAAATATGAACACTACCTTCAAGCAATTGGCAATAATGGTCAAATGGTCAGCAGAAAAGAATGCGCTTTTGCTATAAGGGGAAGGCAGTAGCTTCCCGCAATTATAGTCGGCACCGATTTTTTCTTGCAATTTTAGAGCTAAAAGTAGGGCGTCTGGATTTCCAGGTTCAGTGGCTCCTTCAAACCACTGCTGAATCCCTGGTACTTCCAGAACATGACTAAAGATAGCTTCAATGGGCAACTAAAACAGAAGTGTACATCAACGATTAGAGGAAATGCAATAAAAACTTCTTCCAGAAATAAAAAATGTAATGAAAACAATAGAAAAATAAAATATCGAAACAGAAGGCAACAATAGCACAACTACATATAATAAAATCCAAATGAAGTAATAATCATATGCAATTTTATGCACCTATATGATACATATTTACAGAAACTACAAAGAAATGTGCCTTACACGGAGACAAATGGTACGTATTGCAACAAGTGCAACATCACACTGCCTGCAAATAGAGAAGGTTATCTCTTTTTAGGTGCAACCACGTGCACACAATTTAGGATGCAGAGCAGACAACTCGATCAACATGAACCAAAAAATTGTTCAGCTGTCTTACTTAAAGGACAAAGTACGTCAAGACAAATACCTATGCCAATTCAATTATTATTTGTTCCAATGAATAACAAATGTTTTCCCAACAGCAATGGGTATTGAGCTCACACATTTATGGCAAAGGAAGTTAAAGAACATTCTAGTGACTAGAAAAGAAAAGGCCAAGTCTGAAAGGTAATCATGACAGAATCTACACCATCTATGAATTAACCTTTTGAGATTAAAAGGCCAAGTCTGAAAAACACATTAATTACCACAACAAAAATATTTCGACTAGATGACATCACAAGATGTGCTGCGAATCATAGTTTACCTTTCCAACCATTTCCAATATAACCGCTACACCAGACTCTTGTAGGTATCGTTTCTTAGCAGCAAGAGCAATAACACAGCTGGTAAATTCTTTAACAAGTGGAGTATTATTATCGGAAATCCATTCTTCTGTAAGTTTTCCAGATCTTGCAAGAGCTCCATAAGCAAATAAGCGACCAAGTAAGCAGTCCTTAGCCTCCTATAAAATCAAAGGAAATAAATATAAAGAAGATCAAAATATTATGACCAAATTGAGGAGCAAAAACCCACCTGACCCTTCATGGAAGAAGTGACCTCCAGCAAAGTATCAATTAGCTTTAACAAGGAGTCCAATTTAATGCTAGGAACTGTGCCAACTAAAATAGTGAGACCCAATGCAAATCCTTGTCTTGCACGCTGCAAATTCAGAGAAAAGAAACAGGAAAAAAATTACACATAAACCATGGGTTTTCGAAACAATTGAAGACAATACACAGTAGCACAGGAAAAGCATATATAGCTTTTCAAGGTAGGTGTGCGACTATAAATACAAGAAAAAAGATGGACTCATAAGATGCCACCAATATATGGGATGCTAATTAAATGATAACATAACAAAAATTTAAATTTCGTTGGTGACCATAGTACATGTCCGACACATGTATGCATCAGAGCAAATGAGGTCCATATAAGCCCCCAATAACCGAAACAAATGAAAGATACCAAAAGAAGAAAAAAAAAGAAAGAAAGAAAGAAAGAAGTGCAAGAAAACTCAGTGAACGATATGTAAGCTGTAGCTATCTGTGAAGCAAAAGACAGTAAGTAAGATTACAATAATGAGAACTATTCACGCAAATCTTTCAGAAACTAATACCAGATTCGTTAAATTCAGACAATAAAAGGGAAGAGCTGGTTCGTTGTTTCATAACAATAGTTGGCAAACAAACATTATGACAGCATTCAACACAAGAAAAGAGTTTCTCTTTCTTCTAGAAATATTAACATGTAAAGGTTCTTCTTATTTCCACAGTGAGATTGTATTGAAAGGGTAAGCAAAAAAAAAACAAATACATGACATGGGATCCGATCTCTCATCTAGTGCAAAATCTGAAACAACATAAGGCTACAGCGCATGGAAGGCATTTTTAAAGGCTTCCCAAACTTAAATTATAGTTATCCCCTTCTAAGATGGAGTAAGTAGTATTAGGAGTCAAATGACTATTGAAAACCTGAATCTCTTTACATTTTGTAATACATTCCCAATCCGTAACTACTGGTTAAAAAATATAACCCGTGAGTATGCCGTTATTAGGTTTTCTAAGGCATAATGATAGTTTACGTAAGATTTTCTTCTGAACAGTTGGAGAATAAAACATCATCAACTTTCAGCTCCAGACCAACTAAACCAAAACAGAGTCTCAAGTCAAAAACAGAAAGCTTTAGAAGAGGAAAACGCATGTTAGTACAACTAACTTTCTTGATTGTCCACATTTATGACCACCTTACAAGTAACATGATCAGACTCACATATAAAGTTATAAAAGAAACTAATGCACAATATTAACATGAGCAAAACGGAAAAAACACATTTAAAAGCAAAATGACTCCAGACCACAGACCTTCAAATATAAATGCACTCTTGAATACTGAAAACAAGATTCATACATGTAGAAGCCATTTTAAAGACCTTTTCAAGACTCTCCAATGGCAATCAACCATGAAAGATACTCCGAACACAAAAAAAGATATATATATATAATAACAAAAAGAATCTGACCTCTCTTGATGAGGACACACCACGGACAAGCCTCCGCACGGCGTACCTAACAGACGGGGCACAGTTATTCAAGCCGTCACATTTCTCGGCTTCCAACTTTGACTTATCCTCCACCTCATCCTTATTCTCCAACCTCTCGTAGGCATTCTGAACTTCCCTCAACTCAGTAACCAATGCCTTTGCAGCTGCCTCCCTCACACTGGCATCAACTGCTGCCAAATCCTTAAACACCCCAATATGAAACTCAGGCAACACTCCACCGCTGCTATTACTTGTCCCGGCACTCTCATTACCATCACTTTTTACATCCAAGTCCATATTTTCTGGTGCCGACTGGATTTTCTTGGCTTCTGCTTGGTGCCTTTCCTTATCCAGCAACTTTCTCAGTTTCCTCCTCTCCATAGAATTCAATGATGCCTTCTGGGCGTTCGATGAGGTCGACGCAGCATTAGAGTCCTCGTGGTTTTCCCCCACCAAATTTTCAATTTCCTTTTTCTTTTTCTCCTTTTTCATTCTCTTGCTCGAGGGTTCTGAATCTATATTCTCATCGCCCAAGCTCGGTGGCTGCTTATTTTCTACTACATTTTCCAATCCAGCTTCTTCAACAGATTTTGACTCCCTCTTTTTACTACCCATTTAAGCCTAATGCAAAAAATAAACAAACAAATAAATGAAAAATAAAACCTGCGGGCAAATCAATACACATCGCCATTCCCTCAACAAGAAACAAACAAAGAAGACACCATAAAAAGGCATATTTTAACTCCAACAACAATCATTCACAGTTGAAGTAATCAAGAAAAATACAACAAAAATACAAAAAAAAATAAATAAAAATATGCAGAACAAATTGTAAGTTGAAAATAAATGAATCATAACCTCGATTAGCTTCACTTGTTGAACGAAATGAATGAAATTAATGGAAGAAAATGTTAAGAACACAAATGAAGCAGAGCTAGACGGTGCAAGTTGAAGCAGAGCAGAGAGAGAGAGAGACAATCTGAGAGGCGTCTTGGTTAAAACCTACGTCCCAGCATTTGCTGGGCCGTATCCTGTCAAGATATAATGTATTCAAGCCCAACTGAGATTAAATAATAAGCCCAATGGACCGATAAGTCCTCTACATACTCTCAAGTCTCTCACTTGTGAAAATATACGGAACAGCTATTGACTATGACTGGACGTGTTCAACAGCGGGGCCGGTTCAAATGAACGGCCCGACCCCATTGAACCGACGATTTAAAAAAAGTAAAAAAAAATTAAAAAATCTACTACTACTCGTCGGAAGACTTGAAACCGGCCCGGGCCAGGGCCCGACCCGACAGTTCATCGAACCGCAGATTAAAAAAAGTAAAAAAAAAATCTACTACAACATGTCAGAAGACTTGGAACAGGCCTGGCCCGGCTGGTCAAAATGGCAAAAAAACGACCCTGAACTGGCCCTTAAGCTAAGGGTCCGGTTCATAAACTGGCGTATCGGGGCCAGGTCGACACAATATTTATAATACACAAGATTTTTTTTGGCCGAAACGATAGAGATAGTATAAATAAAACGCACAACAGTGCAAAGCAGCCCAAGGCTGAATATAACAACCCAGAACTAAAAACTGAGAGGACGGATCGGAAGACCGTCTAGAGCCTCGCTAGCCAAGCTAGAATAGAAAACACACAACACACAAAACAAAACACAGACACCCCAACTACGATCGCTCCCCACGGGAGAATTGAAACGTCCCTCACAGGGGAATCAGAACTGGGGCCAACAGCCCAAACCTAAAAAACAAGACCGAAAATAAAACAAACACAGACTCAAGTAATACACAAGATTTATTTTACTGTTTTATATTTTCCATTACAAGGACTTGATAAAAATAGATCCGTCGGAACACCCTTAATTTTCAGAGAGGATGCTTGGATACAAAAATTCTCAAAAAAAATCAAAATATTTTTAAATCAACCACTTTTTTAACTCAACTTTAACTCAACTTCACTATCATCAATATTATCACTATAATTAAATAATATCAATCAATCATTCTTACACAGGACATCAACTTTAATTCATTATTCATCCACTCACATAATTTTAACTAACCATCAT